AATTCAATGACAAGATTGTCTAGTTAAATAATGTCTTTCATCTGCAACTTCCTTCTAGTAGTAAAATCTGCTAATTGTTCACAAAAGTCTAACTCACTACATATTCACCCATATAAATATACAAGACTCACAATTTTGACCATATGGACACAGTGAACTGTAATTATAACCTAAGATCTATTTTTTTTTTTTTGAGATGGAGTTTCGCTCTTGTTACCCAGGCTGGAGTGCAATGGCGCGGATCTCGGCTCACCACAACCTCCGCCTCCTGGGCTCAGGCAATTCTCCTGCCTCAGCCTCCTGAGTAGCTGGGATTACAGGCATGCGCCACCATGCCCAGCTAATTTTTTGTATTTTTTAGTAGAGACGGGGTTTCACCATGTTGACCAAGATGGTCTCGATCTCTCGACCTCGTGATCCACCCGCCTCGGCCTCCCAAAGTGCTGGGATTACAGGCTTGAGCCACCGTGCCCAGCCTAAGATCTATTTTTAAATGCATAGTGTCTTTTAGCCAAATAACCAGAATACCTAAAAAACTCAGTGTCTCTGAAATGAACCACTTACCTAGGATAAAACTAGGATTAGGTGTTCACAAAATTAGTGTGGCTGCTATGAATGAAGGTGTTAAAACATGAAACATTAAAAGTACAACAGAAGCGCATGAGCAAACTTCCATAGTCTAAACAGGACTATGTATGATGCATAATGAAAACACTAAGAGTATACTCTGAGTTTATAACCTCTTTATGGAAACAATCAAAGCTTACTTAGCATGACCTCTGATGTTACTTTTAAAACACGCTGGCTGCTTTTTTTTTTTTTTTTTTTACCTGACTCTAAGCCAAGCCTTTTCAAATCCTCTTGGTATGCTTTCAGGGCAGCTGCCTCCATTGCAGCAAACTCCTTTGATGCCTTTTCTTCTTCCTTTGCCTTATCCAGGCTTTTCTGTTTAATCTATATAAGACATACATAACAGTAAAAGTGAGATAAAGGACTGACATTTGCATAGGAAAATTAGCAAAGAAACAATCTAAATTACCTCACTGATCCTTTTTGCCACATTTTCCTTATGATTCTTTCCTCTTTCATGAAATTCAACACTCTTGGAAAGGAAAAAAGAGAAAACACAAAAGAAAACTACATAAACATCATAAAATTCATAGTAAACATCATAAGCAATTTTCTCATAAACATGAAAAAATTAAAATGAATGGCAGAAAAGATGAAAATGTTAATTTAATGCAAATTGGCCTTTTAATCAAATGATGCTAGGGAACTACGTGGTTTATTTTTATGTCCTCTGACTAGGTTTCCTTTGGTTCTTTTTTTTTTTTAATTGAGTTATATCATTTCTTTTTTTTTTTTAATTGAGTTATATCATTTTTTTAATTGAGTTATATTTCTTTTTTTTAATTGAGTTATATCATTTCTTTTTTTAATTGAGTTATATCATTTTTTTTTAATTGAGTTATATCATTTCTTTTTTTTTATTGAGTTATATCATTTCTTTTTTTTAATTGAGTTATATCATTGCTTTTTTTAATTGAGTTATATCATTTCTTTTTTTTTTTTTTTAATTGAGTTATATCATTTCTTTTTTTTTTTTCCCTTTGGTTCTTAAAATAAACCATGATGACCTTATTAATGGAGAAAAATACAAGGTACCTGTGATGACTAATCTAGTGACTATGATTGTAATGAGGACTCAAACAGGACATGAAGCTGAAAGGCTTGGGAAAAAAAATCTTAAAACAACTTTCAATATCAAAAGCCTTTAGAATTTTATAGCTCTATTTGCCACAAGGAAGGACATAGAGAACAATGATTTTATTGCTTTATTCCTCAAAATTGGGAGAAAAGTACTTATTTTAAGATTTCTCATAAATCATAAGCAAACACTTTTATACAATATGGTAATGGTTCAAAATATACTTCTATGGAGAACAATTTGGCAATATCTATCAAGGCCACAAATATGTTTACCCTTTGACATAGCAGTCTCATTTCTGGTAATTTATTCTATAGATATAACCGCACATGTGCAAAACAATGATATATACAAGCTTACTGACTACAGCACTATTAACAATACGGTATCCATCTATAGGGGACTGACTGGTTAAACCAGGCGTCCCCAAACTTTTCACACAGGGGGCTAGTTCACTGTCCCTCAGACTGTTGGAGGGCCGCCACATATTGTGCTCCTCTCACTGACCACCAATGAAAGAGGTGCCCCTTCCTGAAGTGCGGCGGGGCGGGGGCTAGATAAATAGCCTCCTATAATTTGGGGATGCCTGGGTTAAACTATGGTACATTCTCATAGGCTACTGTAATAGAGAAAAAGAAGCTCTTTATGTATAGATACAGAGAGAGCTCCAGTTACATACTGTTTTATTTTTTAAAACGATAGTGCAGAACAATATATACAGTATATTACCTTTTACGTATGCTGGAATACGAAATTGTGTCTACATGCATATAGAAACAATGGAAGGACAGACAAGAAAATGAAAAAAAAAAGATAACCTATGGAGAGTAATGGCAACTGGATGATTGGGGATGGGGCAGGTAAGCCCAATTATCTATTTATAAACAATCAGAAATGCTCCCTAAATTACAGGTCTCTGGTTAAATGCAGTAAGAAATTCCCGGTAAGCTCTGTAAAATAAGTTCTGTCAATCAAATCTCATACGATGCATTAACTGAGTTATTCTAAAATACTACTGTGAATACATCTTTAAAGTATGACTTGTAAAGCAGACAATCGTCCTCTATTTTTCATATATTGAGTTTCCTAAAGTTGATTACACAAAGAATATTAAAGGACCATTCAAAATTAATTTTGTTTCTAATTAAAGGTTAAGTCAATGTGTATTAGTGGTTCAAGAAGATGAAGACACTACACTAGAAGTGATTACTTACTCTGGATAACTCACAAAATTCAATTTACAGCCTGGGTACCAACAACAAAGAGAAACTTTAAGTGATCTGTGTGGTTTTAAAAATTCATGGTATTTATTCATAAGTAACTAGGTAAAACAAGACAGTCAAGAACTTATAGCAACTATCCAAAAACATCAAAACATTTAAAAAAAAAATCCAAATCCCAAACACCTTGCAGATATGCAAGAGAGGGGAGAAAAATCAGTGGTGTGCTTTTTACTTTAAACCTTCAACACTGGATCTCAACTATGAGATAGCCTAATATCACACATAACAGAGTTGTTACTTTCTGTTTCATGAGAAAGGGAATATGGTGTTCTTTCAAAATTTAGCCATCTAAGGATATGCAACTCTGCATTAAATACATCTGATTAGTTCTAGAGCAGAAAATATGCAAGAAAAACTAGGGCTTTCCGCAATTCTTTGTGTATGACAGTATTATGAACACCACCATTATAATGTAGGTTCTGCATAAACATGAATGAGATGACCTACTCATTCTCCATTTCCCGAAAAGCTACAGAGAAATAATTTCACTTAATACGTAATCAACTTTAGGGTGATGAAAAGGAAGAAGGCTCACAGCTTTCACAAGGGACCAAGAAGGCAGAAATCTTTTGATGTTTTGAAAAAGCAAAAGCAATGTACAAAAAGTGCTTTGTGAAGTGAGTTTACATCAAAAAAGGCACTTCATTCAACACAATTATTATTTGAATCTCTAATAGCGGAATGATCATACAGGCCTATTGTCTGCTATCCAGCACTTGCAGTAATCACAGAATTTCTTTGGCTGTGACTTCCAGTAGTCCGCCCTGAAAAGGAGAAAACAAGTCTAAGTTCATTTAAAACTTAAAAAGTAAAATTCTGCATGCTTTACATTTTTTTTAAAGCTTGAAATATATGTGCCTGCTACTGAATCTTGTCTTGTTATATAATTGTTTTATTATGTACCTGGTTGGAATAGTCAATGGAAATTCTGTTGCCAACAGCGATAAGAAAAGTCTGTATCTGATTCATTACAAGATTCCCTTAAATAAGACGGCTTTCAAAAATTTCTCACTTGTTACGGTCATCCTTATGAAAAACTAAGGAACATCTTACAAAACATTTATCCCTTCTGTTCGTTTCTGGCTTTGGGGGAGGTTGCTGTAATGGAAACCTAAGGAAACTCATAAAGTTTGCCTTAAACCAAGTTATTCCCACCAAAAGAACGTACAAGACTACTCTGCGGGTAGACTGTAGGTCCTCCAAGACTATCGGTTAAAACAACTGTTCTTGAGCCTCAAGGCAAGAGAGAATTGGAAAAGCCACGGGACCTCGCAGATCGCCGACCAAAAAGAAAAAAAAAAAATCGTTACGCTATCCAGGGCTGGCCGCTTCCAGTAGGCGCGGGAGGCCGCAGCCCAACCCTAGTTTCACAAGACTCTAGGGTGCAGGGGCTTCGGCACCCAAAGGGGCGCGTGCGACCGCCGAGAGCACCGTGGAGGGAGCTTCGCCCGCGGCCGTCCAACCAGCCCCCTGAACCGGCCGCCGGCCTCCCCCGGAGACCGTCCCCCATGCCCTAGGGCGCTCGGCGAGATACCATTTGCACCCCGCCCAGAGAACCCGCCCTGCAGGTCTGGGGCCGGTCCCGAGCGAGTTAAGACCGCGTGCGTCACGCCCCCGGCCGAAGGGCGGGAGGGGAGGAGCGGAGGGGAAGACCCGGGTGAGAAAGGGCCGCCTAGAGAAACAACACCTCGTTGTTCAGGCTCTGAGACCCAACTCACATGACTGCGCCGCCCGCTCTGCACGTTGTCCGGCGTTCCACTCAGACTCGCGCTCTCCCAGCGGGACAAGTCGGGCTCCGCCAGCCGCGCGAGACCCACCCGAACCTCCCTCCGACCCGGACACCTCCCACCGTCCCCGGGATCAGCGTTCCGCCGCTCCCAACTACGGCTGCTCACACGACTCAATCCGCGTTCGAAATCTCCTCCTCTCCCCTCCCCCTACAGGGGCGGTACTCCCGGCTCCAAAGAGGTGGGGTCGGTATAAAGGGGTTGAGGTCATCGGGAAGGGGCAAAAGCGCGACGGGACCTGAGCTGAAGGACAGGGTCTCAAGCCTCAAGTCGCGGCGCCATCCCGCTGTGTCTGTGTCCTCCCCTGGGACCCAGAACCTCCACTCTCCGTCTAGGGTCGCTGGCTCGAGGCCAGGGAGCTCGCGCGCCGCCTCCGCCCCGAACGCAAACAGCTGTTCCCAGAGACGTCGCCGCTCTCAACTTTGCCAACTAGTCCTCACGCACTTTGACCGGCGGAGCAACTGGGACCTGTGGGTCGGGGTCCTCTGGCGGAGTTAAAAAAAAAAAAAAAAAGAGGTGAAACAGCGGGGTCCGGGACTGCGAGTCGCTAGGCTTCGCCTCAAACTTTGCTGCCCTGGCGGAGCGCCCGCTCCTTCTCTCCTCTCCCTTCCCCTTCCCCGCGAGGTTCGCGCGCTCGGTCGGAGCTGGTTCCCTAACTCGCCAGCGCGTGGATAGCAGCGGCGGGAGCGGCGGCGGCGGCTCCAGTGGCGCAGAGGCGGCGGTGGGAAGCGGCGGTGTCGAGCGGAGCGGCGAAGACGACAGAGGCGCTTACGCTTGTCAGGTGGGTGACGGCGGCTGTCCTAGCAGCACTTCCCATATGGTCTAGCGGTTAGGATTCCTGGTTTTCACCCAGGCGGCCCGGGTTCGACTCCCGGTATGGGAACGCTGCGTTGATGTTTTGTATTATTATTTTTAAAGGATTGGTTTGGAGGGCTGACTTCTAAAAATCTCGGTTCTATCTCCTTTCTTGTTCCCCTATCTGGGTAAGTCTGTAGAAAAGGAGCATTACTGTAGTTGTTAGTGGCTCCGCGAGCAGGGATGCGGCTTTTGGAGCCTCGAATGCCGCGCGGTGCGTGCAGGAGAAGGGTTTGCGCCCCGGGTCCCTCTCACTCCCGCCTCGGGCTCGCTGGGATGGTGGGCCCCGAGGGAGTTTCACTTTACCCGTGGCTGTTCCCCCGCCCCTCCGGCACGTAGTTTTCCAGACGCTCCGGAGGTGATGATTAACTCCGGCCTTGCGTTATCTCCTCCCTGCGCCCCCCTCCGGCCCACACCCTCCTCGGCCGCCCAGGCAACTCTTCCGAGGCTGGGCGAGGTGGCCCCCTGCGCTGGGCACCCCAGAGCCAGCGCCCCGGCCGGTAGCTGTAGTGGGCTCTGTCCACCCGATATTTACGAGTTCCCCCCAGAACACAGCGTGCCTTCCGCGGCCTCCTGGGGGGGCGCGCTTTCCCGGCCACGCAGCTGCGGTGCGCCCCTTTCCGCCGCGCGTGCGCCCGCGTCTCCACCCACTGGGCCGGGGCAAGCTGGAGGCCCTCCCGCGAGGTCGTCCCGACTTGACATTCCGGGCGCTGGTCGCAGTTACGGAAAGTACCCTCGAAAAAAGGCCTTTGGGAACGAGAATCTTTTTTCTTTTCCTTTAAAAACACACACACCACGAGCTATGGAGAAGAAAAATTTCGCTATGATGAAATAGCTTTAAATAAGTAAATCGACTTTCCAAAGGGTCTACGTTTTGAGCGCCGTTGATTAAAAAAAAATTAAAAAAAAAAAAATCCTGGGGTGGAGGTGGGGCTTGGGAAAGAAAATTGGCCGGAGACTGGGGAGGGGACCTTAAAACAAAGTTTCACTGTATTTTTAAATATAGAAGCCCTGTGTTTATTACAAAAGGGGCAGCTGTGTCAGCAGCATGTGAGCTGTAAATGAAACAAAAGCGTTATCTTAAATGCAAGCTGAAATTAGAAAATAGGGTCAGCTATAATGTGTAGTCTATGGGCCTCTGGGAACAAACGAAGAAGGAAAAAGTGACTTGCAGATGGGTTTCTGGTCAGTGCCATTACTGAGAGCAGATGTTTTGGTTGTTAGTATGTGTGTTCCCAGACTATTTTGTACCTTTAACTGTACAATAAATTTGTTAATGTGATCTGCGTGATTAAGGATTAATTAGGCTTACCTTGTTAAAAAAAGAAAAAGCCTAAGTATTTTAAATCATCTTCATTAATTCAAATATTTATATTTGTGTGTCTGCTACACACCAAGCACTACCAGAGTCTTTTGAAGTTACTGATGTTCGGGTTCTTCATGTTAACTAGTGAATAGAATACTGAATGGAATAATGTTTTGGTCTCTGATTAGCTGTGTGATGAGACTTTCCACCTTCTCTGTTATCTGGCTTTAGAGCCATACAGTTTTGATAATACATATAACTCACAAATTTTAAATAGCGCTGCAAGAATTGTTGAGCGATTCTTCAATAGATAATGAAAGTGGAAGTTTCATGTAAATAAGTAATAGCATGTCATTATTAAGAAGCAGTTATTAAAGAATTACAGTAGTTGCAAAGTTGGGAAGAAGGAAAGATAACTCTGCCTTAATTGTCCCCAGAGAGAGGGCTTAACTTTTGACCTTGCCTTTTTTTTTTTTTTTTTTTTTTTTTGATACCGACTCTTGCTCTGTATGTAACCCAGGCTGGAGTGCAGGAACTCCGCTCACTGCAACCTCCGCCTCCCGGGTTCAAGCTAGTCTCGCGGCTCTACCTCCCAAGTAGCTGGGATTACAGGCATCCGCCACCACACCCAGCTAATTTTTGTATTTTGAGTAGAGACAGTGTTCACCATGTTGGCCAGGCTGGTCTCGAACCCCCAACCTCAGGTGATCCACCTGACTTGGCCTCCCAAAGTGCTCGGATTACATGTGTGAGCCATTACGCCTCACCTCGACTTTGCATTTTGTAATGAGTTTATCACACAGTACCAAATGGTGCTAAAATGGATGTTACTTTCAACTGTGCACTCAGTAATTGCATATAGTTATACTATATACCTGGGGGTGACAACAAAGGAAGAAGTTGGGTTATCTTTGTATAAAACACAGATTTACCTTTTGTGTAGTTGTGTATCACATATAATAGGTGAAGGGAACATCTGAGTTGTAGAAGTGCTGCTGGAGTAACTGAACTGAGGAATCAGTTCGGCTCAAGGGAAAGGGCTGGAGAGACATGGATGGGAGAGAGCTTGCCCTGGACCTTGAAGAACTGGTTGGATTTCTTCTGGTAGGGAATGTGAATCCTAAAGCTGAGGTAGGGGGACAGGTATGAGGCTGGCAAGCAGTAGGTTTGGCAGGAACACAAGAGTGCCTGCAGGGAGAGCCATGGGCCATCAAGCCGGGAATGTAGAAAGGAATTTTAACTTGATAAAATTTGACTAGGTAACAGGTTCTTTTATCAAGGAGTGACATTTTATGTCACAAAAATTTTTAAACCATTTCTGTCTCTTGAAAAACCCAATATTAATTTGTAATTAATGGAAAAAAGCAATCAGTTAATTAGAATTCACTTTACAGGAATGAAATCTAGGCTTAAAGTATGAGAATGATTTGTCTTGCTTTATTGAAAGTGACCTTGGTATTTGAAGACAGAGCTGCTCATTAACTATCAGTAAGGCATATACCTTAAATTGATTAAGGCTAGGTGATCAATTTGTGAGGATTCATTCTTAAGTTTGTGCCATTGGCAGTCATATTTTAGGTGTTCTCTCTTGTGCCACAAATTAGTGACACTGAGTGCTGTGGATCTATCCAAATAACCTCTGTAGTATTTGCTACTGTTAGGTGTAATCAGAAGATATGTGAAAGAGGCAGGGCGTGGTGGCTCACGTCTGTAATCCCAGCACTTTGGTAGGCTGAGGCGGGGGTGCAACGTGGCAAAATCCCATCTCTACCAAAAATACATAAAATTAGCCAGCTCTGGTGGCCCGTGCTGCACCTGTGTCAGCTATTCAGGAGGCTGAGGTGGGAAGATTGCTTGAGCCAGGGAGGCAGAGATTGCAGTAAACCAGAATCTCAGAATCGTGCCACTGCTCTCCAGCCTTGGACATAGAGTGAGACAGCATCTTGAGGAAACAAACAAAAAAAAAAACGAAAGAGCCTAGACAACATAACAAGAGCCTGTCTCTAAAAATAAAATTAAAAAGTTAGCCAGATGTGATGCCACATGCCTGTAGTCCTAGCTGCTTGCAAGGCTAAGATGGGAGGAGCCATTGAGCCCAGGAGTTAAAGGCGGCAGCGAGCTGTGATGGCGCCCCCACACTCCAGGCAACAGAGCAAGACCCCAGGACCATGTCTCTTAAAAAAAAAAAAAAAAAAGAAGAAGATATATGAAAGTTCAATAAATGTTTGCAGAGATGAACGCTGGTATTTGAAGAAGTAGATTTCAAAACAATTACTGCGTTTCAGGTAAAATCCAAAGACCTTATCATGGTTTCTGAGGTCCAACATTATCTGGACCTTACCTTCCTAACCTCATGTCCTATCTTTTCTGCCTCTTCATTGTATGTTGGGTACATAGGCTTCCTTTTTGCCATGCCAAACATATACTTGTCTCAGAGTTTGGTTATTTGCCTTTTTCCTTTGCCTGGGAATTTCCCCCGGTAGTTCTGTACCTCTCAGGTCAACATTACCTTCTCAGAGAGATCTTTTCTGACCACCTTACCTTGAGACTCCCTCTTCCTTGGTTACTTTCTGGTTGCTTTATGCCATTTTTTCATTTTCTTAGTATCTTGAAATTAACCTGTTTATTGGTTTTTGTTTATTTCTTGTCTTTTTCTATCAGTGTAAGTTCCATGAGGGCAAGAATGTCACATAGTGAGATCGTTCTTGTTTGATGATAAAGATTCAAACAATAGTAAAGAAGTTGGAACTCTCATACACTGCTGCTGGAAATGTCGAATGGTGTAGTTGCTTTGGAAAACAGTTTGGCAGTTCCTCAAAATGTAAACAGTTACCACATGACCTAGTTATTTCCACTCCTAGGTATGTACTCAGTAGAAATGAAAACATGCCTGCACCAAACCTTGTACACTAATGTTTATAGCAGCATTATTTATAAGAAAAAAGTAGAACACTAAATGTCCCTCACTTGATGAGTGAATAAATAAAATATAGTGTATCCACACAATGGACTATTTGGCAATACAAAGGATGAGGTCCTGAATCACAGGAACATTATACTAAGTAAAGGAGCCAGGCATGAAAGACCATATTTTTATTCCATTTATATAAATATCCAAAATAAGCAAATCTATAGACAAAGAGGGTAGATTAGTGGTTGCCTTGGCTTAGAGAGGATAGGGAGGTTTGGGATGAGGTGACTGCCAATGTGGATAGTAAATTTAGGGAGATTAAAAGTCCTAAAATAGATTACAGTGATAGTTTTATAACTTTATGAATGCACTAAATAACATTGAATTGTGTACTTTAAATGGGTAAACTTCATGATATGTAAGTTATATCTCAACCAAACTCTTTAAAAATGATTGAAGCAATAAAAACCATAACAGAAGATTTTATCTCTAGATTTTACATTTATCATTTGGATATTACATATTTTAGAATAACAGCAGCCTGGGCAACATGGTGAAACTTCATCTCTACCAAAAAAAAAAACCAAAAAAAACAAAAAACAAAAATCAGCCGATGTGGTGGTGCATCCCTGTAGTCCCAGATCCTTGGGAGACCGAAGTGGTAGGAGTGCTTGAACCCAGGAGGTCAAGGCTGCAGTGTGCTGTGACT